TTGTGATGAAAATCACCCCAAAACTCCCGCCGCGGGCATGGTACTTTCGGTGTGGCATGGCTCAAAAACCAAATTTGATAACGCACTATATTTGCGTAGTGGTACGACAATCATTGTAGCATAGTGTTTGGAAACCCTAGTAGCACAAATATGTATTTTATAAATATTTTATATATTTAAAGTTGTATTTGATAGAACCTCGAATAAAATATATATATAATATATCTTTAATAATAGTTTGATATATTCAAATATATATTTAAAATATTACCAAAAAGCAATGCAAAATATAAATTAAATATAAGTTTTGAATATATAAAATAGATTCATAATATATATTGATAAAACAAGTATAGAATCTATAATATACATATTTTATATGTATACTTTCCTATTAAATATTTAAAAAAATTATGTGTTGAGAATATTTTAAATATATATATAAAATATTTTTTAAACTATATTATATATTTAAATAACTAGTGTACATGTTGCTCGAATTCGAGCAATTGTAAAGTAATACAGGATTTGCAAACCAATAACAATCATACTTAGCAGTCATACAACAATCATAAAACACCTACCTGCCCTGTAGCAGCAAACCTAAGTACTCATATTAAAATTAACTTAATGTTATTTAAGTAGGAAAAATGACCATTTTAAGGGAATAATTCATCTTTGTATTAATTAAGCCAGGTAAATGGAAATTCGCTTAGTCTGAAGGTTTGCTGCGGATACATAATAACAGCAAAGATTGAAGAATCTGAATTAGGTATTACTTATATCCATGAATTTATCTAACAATTATTTCCTGTAAAATATTACTACAGCAGTTCAAAAATATTGAAACAATCTCGATCAACAAATAATGTTGAAAGAATTCCATGCTAATGACATTAACATATAGTTTGACAGTTTCATTTAATCAATGTTAAATGTTTACATTCGGGCAAAAATTATTCGGGTGAGTGACATATTTGATTAATGTTTATGATCCCTACCGTTCCTGTTCTAATAATCATGCAGTATTTAATATGTTTGAACCAGCTGTGTGGAATTGTGAAATAAAAATTAATTTGACAGCTTAATTAATTAGTTCTGCTTGTTTACATGTTTTAATTTTGTGGGTTTGTTCTTTGTTACCATGGATACCATCAATAAATATTTCGATCTTAATTTCTCACAACAGCTGGAGTTCCATAACAAATTTTGTTTCCCATGTTAATCTTATGGATAAATATGAAACTTTAAAGGGCCCCAGGGCCTCACTCTCTAATTATTTCCTTAAAAAGAAAGTTTCCTGCACAACTTCACGTTACGCTCTTTCCAATGACACCAAAAACATGTCAATTGGTTCAGTAGTTTCGGAGGAGTAATTGTCACAAAAATCCTGCTTGCGTATTAAATAAGTAATAGATTTATAAATATATTTTTAAACACGTCAGATATTTTTATTAATAAAATAATATTATATTTGTAGAATATATAGCCTATAATCTTTTATAATTAGCCAATAAATAATTTGTATCTTTTTGTTTTTTATAGTGTCTATCAATTTATACATGCATTTTTTGTATGATAATTGCTATTGTGAAAGCGTTAAAATTAAGTTAATAATAATATGTACTCTGAATGGTGTCACTATATCATACACGTAAAGAAAAAAATAGCATATAGTTAAGAGGCAAGGCAGTATACATGTTCGACAGCTACATTTGGGTCAAACGAAAAAAAGTGTTGATGGGTTTTATTTTTTTAATTGCAATATGTGACAATGAATGTGATCATAGAAATCTCGAATGATTGGCTAGAAAAGGGTGCTAGTGACTGGCGACCTTTTAAGAAACTAATTACGGTTGTATATGACGTTCTAAAAATAATTATTTGATTTACATATGCCATAAATTACATAATATTTGTCATAGTATTTAAATTAATTTTTGTAGTTTACTGTATTTGTATTCGTGGAGACTACTCACTATTCACTACAGCACTATTCAACTCAACTACTTGATGCCAAAACAGATTAACAGAATCATATTATACTGTAGTATCAAAAATATTTAAAGTATTGCAACCATTGCAACTGAGGGCCACTCTTTCACCATTTGAAAACTAATGCTAACAACAGTCACAAGTAGCTCAGAGGTAAGGTAGGAGACTCATAAGTTGAAGGACCCAGGTTCGAGACCCACCCTGGCTGAAAAAATTTTATCGAGTAATTTTTTCAAAATTTGTTTTTTTGAACTATTTACAGTAATCAATTTACTCAACTGATAATTGTGTTTTTCATACTAAATCTATTATTTTGTGTTTTTATGTATAGGCCCCATGGGATGTTTGGAAGAGATATTAAATACATTTTATATTTAAATATTATTCAATAAAATATATTATTGGAACATATTTTTTAAATATTTAATAGATTCAAAAACATATTTTTTATATATTTAATATATTTTAAATATTATATAAAATAGACATTAATACACACTTGAGATATATAAAATAGATTTTAAATATATTTATTCATATGTATTTAATATATATTTGTGCTACTAGGGAACTAGAATGGGTTGCTGTAATTTATTTGTTACCTCAACTTATTACTTACATACTTACATTCTACTGTATTACACAATTGAACTCTAACTAGTCTGTAACTCAATAGTTTAGTGAACATAAATCAAATGTATGCAACAGCCAAGGGAGAACAGTTTACTCACAACCGCAAGGAAGGGATTAAGAGATTAGGTCAGAAATGGAAGAGTACAGTCAAGACAAGCATTTTGCACGACGCACTCGCTGGCGTCCCAGGCACGGGGGAGCAGCTTACCACCTCCCACATCACAGAATCAAATTGTTTAGTTCGTCACAGGGTTGAAGTTCGTTCGCTACGCTCACTCACCTTTTGGTTTCAAATTAGCTGTTGTCAAATATTTAAAATACCCCCGCCGCAGCAAACCTGCAGACTAAGCGAATTTCCATTTCCCTGAATGGATTTACACTAAAATGTCTCCTTAAAAATATCACATTTATTCCCTATTTAAATAGAATCAGTTTAAAACATACTTAGGTTTGCTGCAACAGGGAGGGTAAAAGTGTTTTTTATGTAAAATGTTAATAGTTAGTAAGAAATAAAAACATTTTCAAAATTTGGGCAAAATCTATACTTATAAAAGGCAAAGCCCTCACTGACTGACTGACTGACTGACTGACTCACTCACTCATCACTAATTCTCCCACTTCCCATTTACCTAGGAGGCTGAAATTCGGTACACCGATTCTTTGGGCATTAAATAGGAAAACTAAGTAGTTTTTATTCTGATCGGGCTTTCGGGCTCCGCCCCAGTGGCTCTGGAGTTTCCCATGTTAACCTTATGATTTTTCATATTTAAAAGGAATTAATGAATCTTAACAGCTGTTTCAATTAAACAAGTTGGTTCTGTTCTATGATGTTCAATACCATTAAAGTTACAAGGATTACCAACAGGGTGCAGCACTATTATTTTTTTAAATTTATGACAACAGCTAATTTGCAACCAAAAGGTGAGTGAGCGTAGCGAACGAACTTCTACCTGGAGGCGAGTTAGCGTAGCAAACGAGCTAACCTGAAGGCAAGTGAGCGCAGCGAACGAGCTCCAACCCAAAGGTGAGTGAGCGTAGCGAACGAACTTCAACCAGGACGTGATTGAGCCATGCGAACGAGCTCATCTTGAAAATTAAGAAATTAAACGGGGCAAAGCCCGCGGGTACAGCTAGTATGTTTATAAACAAGCAAACTACAACAGTTTTCTTATTCTCCATAAGAATAACATGGGAATTTTAAATTTAAAATTTTTTGGAATTTTCTTCGTAACCATAGGCGCATTATAACGTTTCAATATAGGGTACTAAATTATTTGTTTTTTTAAGCTCTACAAAATAGTTTTGAAAGAAATTGCAAAATTTGTTGTTTTTTGGGTCAAAAATGGGAAAAACCCATTTTTACCCCATAAAAGCCCCCATAAACCCCCGTTCCCATGGTCCGATCATGCTGGTTCGCGAACTCGTTCGAATAAACATAGGTTTACACGTTTGTACCAAATTTCATCAAAATCGGATCATTTTTGCTCGAGTTATCGCGCTAACGGACACATATATATATATATTAATATATATATATATATATATATATATATATATATATATATATATATGAATTTGAACGGATGGTGTTTTTGACCTCTAGGGACCTCAAAACAAAAACAAAAATCGGTCCCGGGTCCAGGTCTTACCGTGAGTACTACGGTAATAGCTTATTCCCTATATGGGAAATTCGCTAAAAATAATAGTGCTGCACTCTGTTGGTAATCCTTGTAACTTTAATGCTATTGAATATCATAGAACAGAACCAACTTGTTTAATTGAAACAGCTGTTATGATTCATTAATTCCATTTAAATATGAGTACTCATTAGGTTAACATGGGAAACTCCAGAGCCACTGGGGCGGAGCCCGAGAGTCCGATCAGAATAAAAACCACTTAGTTTTCCTATTTAATGCCTAAAGAATCAGTGTACCAAATTTCAGCCTCCTAGGTAAGTGGGAAGTGGGAGAATTAGTGATGAGTGAGTGAGTCAGTCAGTCAGTCAGTCAGTCAGTGAGGGCTTTGCCTTTTATATATATAGATAGAAAATAACATAAGTAACAATAACCTGTGAACCATAATATTTATTTAAATAGGATTTGTATAATTTTCTTCAGAATTTAAAGAACTATAACATACTTACTTTTTATCAAAATCGATCGAGTCATTTTTGAGTCACAGAAGGGTTGACCCATGAGGTAGGCCTACCAGTAGATGGGCCTTTGACTACTAGTTTAGTGCATAGTTTATACACACTGAACGATCACATTTATATAAATTGATAAATAGATCAATAGTTTTCTTGTATAACAACTTAGCAGAAACATAAATTAAGGGGGACGTTGTCTGAAAACACATTGTTTTTTGTCACATTTTTAATAACCATAAACAAACAATGAAATGAGTTTGCAACATATTCTATATAGCTGCTTTGTATTTCAATGTTGGATAAGTTCGGAGACGTAGTAGTTCTAGTTCTGTCTGGAGAACCAAGTTTTCATTGTGAACTTGCTGAATCTTGGATACTAGTTTACTTCGCTTCACAATCATTGCCATCCTTAAACAAATTTTCTAACTTAAAAACCCTTTCATTTTGATTTACATTTTATATACTGTATAATTTGCAAATACATTTAAAAGCTTAATATTTACCAGGTGAAACCCGTCGAAATCAACAGTTACTTTCAAGGCTTACGCTAATTCATCTAACCGCGATAAATTGAGTGAAATTATACATATTTTGAGCATTTAGAATTGTTTAAAGATTAATAAGTGTAAAAACAATATTGATATTACCCAATAAGCAAAAAAGTTGTTAAAAATTGTCAAAAGTCGTATTACAATTGTTGTATAACAATTTTAAAACATTTTGATTTTAACTTCATATTGCAACAATTTTAATATAAGATTAAAACCATTTTAAAATTGTTTAACAATCAGTTTTTTTTTTTGTTAAGAAAATAAGTTTTAATACAAGTTGTAGGCCTAACTATTTTACAACAATTTTAAAATGGTTTAGCAATCAGCTTTTTCCAGTTTAAAAAAATAAGTTTTAATACAAGTTGTAACTATTGTACAACAATTTTAAAATTGTTAAACAATCAGTTTTTTTGCTGTTAAAAATAAGTTTTAATACAAGCTATAACTATTTTACAACAATTTTAAAACAATGTTTAAATTGTTTACAATACTATTTAACAATTGTTTGTGTAGTTCTTAAAAAAACAAGTTTCAACAATTTTGAAATAAATGTTTAATTTGTTTGATTATTTATGTTTAATCTTAATTAATGAGTGTACATCCCTTTTTTGGCCGTTTTTAAATTTGGTTGCATTTAATTTTAATATATGCTAGATAAATAGGTTTTATCAATCATGTTTAAATAACAGCCTGTAGGCCTAATGTTTAAATTTTTTAATTGAAAATGAAATGAAGTTGGAAAAGCACCTATTAAAATACGTAAAAAATTATGTTTATTGTACAGGTAAAGCATAGAAATTAAATAATTCTTCTTATAAATAATTTTTTTTAAATATAATACAATTCTTTATAATTTCGTAGTAGTTATTACATTATGAATATTGAATTAGGCCTACTTGAATAGGTAAATTCATAATGCATAAGTTACCGATTTTTGTGATAAGTTACCGATAACGTTAATTGTGATAGTTGTGATACTAGATACAGTGATGGAACACCTGCTTAACATATAATAATAATAAAAATAATAATGCAAATATTTTTGTTGTTTTTTTTTTTCAGTTATATTTGAGCAAATTTTTAGTAGTTGAACAATTAAGGGGTGGACATGAATTAATCATATAACAATAATTATGATAACATTAGCAATGTTAATTAATTCATATACAATCAAATACCGGTATCCTCCTCAACTCCCAGAAAATCAATTCAACAACTTGAGGCCTAAACATACCAGTAATCATAGTATCAAAAGTATTAAGTATTGCAACCATTGCAACTCCATAATAACTCCATTGCTCCTCTTTGACCGATTGAAAACATGAAATATCAACAGCCACAGATAGCTCAGAGGTAAGGTAAAGGGTTCACAGTCTGGAAGTCCTGGGTCCAAGACCCGGTGGGGCAAGATAATTTTGATTCTAGTTTTTTCTCAAAATTTGTTTTTATGAACTATTTAATCAAAATGCTCAACTGATATATATGCATTTCATACAAAATCTTTATTATTTCGCCTTTAGGATATGCCCATGGGATGGTTGGTCCTATGTGAAAACAATTTTTAACTTGTTGCAAAGTTAATTTTAAAATTGTTGTAATAACAGTTTTAAAATTGTTGTAAAATTGTTGCAATATAGTTGTAAAACAATTTTTGAACTATTTTAAATTTTGCCGGTTGTCAACAGCTCATATTAATAACAGTTTTAATATAAGTTTAAAATTGATATTAAAACCATTTTTTCTCGTTTTTCTGCTACTTATAATTCCGTTAGTTACCAAATATGATCATGTAATGAATAACATATATCCCATACCGTACGTCATCGGAGATAGAATGTTATCTGGTATCTCTACCTTTGGAAGAACCTTTAAGTAGTATTAAAATCGTATTGGTGGATCTTTTGAAGTTAGATACGTTCGTGATTTCATCAGTGTAATGCAGATTAATCTATGATTTTATTTGAAAAAAAATATCTGTTTGTTGGGAAGACACGTTCTAACTTCAAAGGGAGGTATATACGGTAAAGTGTAAGTTTGATTTTTCCTTTGTCACGTCGCGTCAGTTCACATCGTACTTCCGTGCCAATGAATAACCCTCTAGCACAGTTTTGAGAAATTGGTTGTGGGGTTACTGTTAAAGCTGGAATTCCTAGACATGGGGGATGACAGTTAGTTGTCTCAGCGTTATCAATTACATAAAGTTGTCAATATAATCTCTCTACGGAATGTTAGGTGTAGTGGAATATACTTGCCGAAGTGAAGTTGGCTTTTATTCTTGAACTGATAGGGGCCTCCTCATTTATATGGTCGTGCTGCTTCATTGGCAACAAATAATTCAAATGACATATCAATAAAGCAATTTCCAAAAAGCAAAAATAATGTAAATTCGCTGACACGTAAATATTGACGTTTACATGCATTGTTAATCAACGTATCTTATAAAGGACTAGCTGGCCCGACAGACGTCGTCCTGTCCTAACGTGGTTTTATGTCAATGCTCGTTCATTTTCAAGATGAGCTTGTTTGCATGGCTCAATCACGTCCTGGTTGAAGTTCGTTCGCTACGCTCACTCAACTTTAGGTTGGAACTCGTTCGCTGTGCTCACTTGCATTCAGGTTAGCTCGTTCGCTACGCTCACTCACCTTTTGGTTGCAAATTAGCTGTTGTCATAAATTTTAAAAAATAATAGTGCTGCACCCTGTTGTTAAACCTATTCACTTTTTAATGCTATTGAGCATCACAGAATCAAATTGTTTAGTTAAACCAGCTGTTAAGATTCTTTAATTCCATTTAAATATGAGTACTCATAAGGTTAACATGGGAAACTCCAGAGCCACAGGGGCGGAGCCCTTTTGACGGATCTGCACCAAACTTCACACAAACCATCCTTGAATAATGCTTAATAATGCCTGAAAGTTTCATTACAATATGTCAAGCGGTTTCGGAGTCCATAAAGGACAAACAAACAAACAAACATACAAACAAACAAACATACATTGGATTATATATATATAGATGATATGATCTAGTTTAAAAGGAAGATGACTTTTCTGTCATGGCAGTAGCTGCCTAAATAGTATTTACTCATTGGACCATTTTTTACAGCCAAAATGTCGTGTTATTTTAAATAATGTTACCAACCTAGTGGGCCACGGTCAGTAATATAGGATATCCAGCGGGATATCTCGCCTACACCGGCTTGGGAGCGAAGTTGGAGCTGATGTCGACTTTTTTGGCGTTTCAACTCACATCTTCAGGTCGAAGACCATCCAGCTCCTTATCTAACTATTCTTGTTTTCCATCTAGTCCCTAGTTACATAAACTTTAAATTTTATTTATCTCCCTTTTGTTGCTGTTGTTTTGCTGTTATTTTGTATCCCTGTGTCATTAACTGTTTCTTGTTTCTCAATGTAGTCAGGCTTCATACATAATCAAGTGTCCTACAATTTAATTTTTTCATTCCTTCATTGTTTTGTTTGTCAATATCATCCATGTTTGTAACATCAAGCACTTACACTTACTTGTATCTAGTCAAAATTGTTGATATTATTATTGTTAATATGTACAAATCTCTGTATGCTTTTGTTATTGTTATATTATTTTGTTTTTTGCTGTATATTTATTGAGTAGTTACTTTTGCTTAATATTTTGTGGCATATTAGATACAACATGTAACATATCATGTATTTGCTGTAAAATGGTGTAACCGTTGAGAGGAAATAAATAAATAAAATAAACTCCCTCATACTAATGTAATAGTTTATTTACATTATACATTGACCTTTCTCTCATATTGCAGGATTGCTTTGGAAGAGGGATTTGTTGTGTTTTGTGGGAGAGGGAGGGGAAATGTTTTATGCACACAGGTGGCTAGCCTGTAGTGTGAGACTCCTAAATTGATGACACTAATTACTAAAAAAATCCTCTAACCTTTTAGGAACAGACCTGGGATTGCTTGCTACATTTCTTCAGGTAAGGTCAACATGAGGCCAACTCGCACCATTTCAGGCATTACAGTTGTTTATGACCCAGACCACATCCGGGCCAAGGTAGAGCTCCTTGGTGCAGAGAATATGCTGAACAAACAGGTCCAATTGTCCTCACTCTCTGTCATCATCATCGTGACCGTGTCCACCGACAGCAGTTCTACATTGTGTTGAATGGGCCTTTCCCTTGACAGGCGAACCCACTCGTTAGGAGTGCCCAGGCGGTAGATGCAATCGGGTGGCACTTCTTTGCCCATCCTGAACAAGTACGACCGGAAAAAGCTGTATCCACCTCCATGTACCATCAATGATTCAAGGTTGGACTTGCTGAATCAGCCCAGGGCCGTATTTCCAAATAGGCGGACTATGCGCGCACCTAGATCACCAAATCTTAGGGGAAAGCAAAATTTTGGAAGATAAATAATAAAAAAGGAGGTTTTTGTAATATATCTTAAGAATATCCGTTGTAATTATGATTTCCTTGTACATCACGCCACTATGTATTGTATGATTTTCAAAAAACCTCAATGGCTACAAACATCACCTGATCCCCTCTCCACCTAGATCACACCACCGTCCGTCCCTTCAACAGCCCAGTCTACCTCCAGAATTCGAACCTTAACCACCTGTTTGTGGCCGTTTTACAAACATGTAAAACTCTCGTATTTATTTAGTCCACTTCCAAAGTCCATTAAACCCACAAACACAACAAATGGCAACGAGGTCGGTCAAATTTCCATACCGCGCAATGCAACAGTTCGATTGTGCCGTGTAGTGTAAATTTCGAACAGGTTTGTGAATGTCGGACGACGAAATGGACTTAGACTTACTACCTTTATTTGAAGAAAGTGAAGTGTCGGGTTACTCCAGCATGGCCGGGATAATTAGCAGCATCGGCGAGTACGACCAGAACTCCGAAACGTAGTCTTCATACATAGAAAGATTTGAACTGTTCGTCGAATGGAACAATATTAAGGGGGACAAGAAGGTTAGCACTTTATTGTCTGTGGCTGGTGTTAAAACGTATGGTTTACTACGGGATCTGTGCACGCCCGACGTACCATCGAAGAAGAGTTTTAAGGAAATAGTGACTATTATTAAAGATCATCTCTACCCGAAACCATCGTTCATCGCCGAGAGATACAAGGTGAGCAAAAGAATTTAGCACGAGGGAGAATCAGCGGTGGAATACATCGCGCAGTTAAGGAAGATGTCCACACATTGCGATTTCAGCGCATGTTTAAATGACTACCTGAGGGATCGTCTAGTCTCCGGAATCAGGAACGAATCGACCAAACAAAAATTGTTAGCAGAAACCAGCCTAACCTTGGATCAAGCCATCAAAATCAACGGGAGCCGCAACGTCGAGCGATTACAAAAGATGACGTCACACACAGCCACCTCTAATACAAGGCCGCGGCGAGCGAAAAGTGGCAACGTCGCATCCGTGTCTTGGTGCGCGGTCGACTTACCATTACAGTGAATGGAGGAGTCGCGTACCGACGTACATAATCGCGTTTCTAATACCCTTAATAATTAGTAATGGCATTGAACTTGTTACTACAGCATGCCAGATAGATTTGATATGGCTGGATGCAAGAATAGTTACGAAAGCTCAATTAAAAATGAATAATACATACAGTGTTCTAAGATTCTATGTGATCCGCCGCGTAAGCAACAATAGCTTCTTGCTATTCATCAGTCAAATTAGACATCTTAAAACAATTCTCGTTTTTGTGTGAAACATTTTCACGAATATGAACTTAGATTTGTAAAAAAAATGTAAGAATAATACAATGATTCATGTAAATATAGATGCGAGAAGCGAGTTTTAGGTTGTAATGCCGTACTATTTCCTTATTTATTTGTCTATCTTATTGATAAAAGCTGTTGTTAAGTGATTAAAATAACTTAAATAACACTTCAAAGAAATAAACCATTGTTTCTGTTAAGTTTAATTAGGCCTACTAGTAAAAAAAATATGTACTACATCATCTAACAATAAAAGCATCATAGTCTCTGACTCCAGTCTTAATGTTGATGTGATAAAAAAAATCTATTAATATTGTGAAAAGCCATAAGGAGGACTAGCTTCTGAAATCGTTTACAAAATGGCAAACGTTTTGCTTATTAATTATTCAAATAAAATAAATTATTTAGTCAGTATGCCTTCAAAATGAAAACTTAAAATTTTGTTGTCGCTAACTTATGGTTTCCTCAGGTAGACTAAAACATAACATTTCTATTTAAAATTATTTTATTTGAACAAATTGTTAGATATTAGTCTCTACAAATCCCAAAGTCTCTAAAAATATTGAAGTGGCAATAAGTTAGTCCTACTGTATTACCATTCTTGGTATAGTAGCAATAATTTGTAAAATTTAAGCCCAGTCTGTCTAGTAGTTTTTAAAATGTTGAATAACACACATATATACAGACACCACGAGATTGTTATATAATAGTATAGATTATCAAATTAACAAAGGAAATATGTAAAGTCCATCTATTTCCACATTCATCGTACTTACAATACGATAAATGCAGCCAAAAACGTTATGTTTGTATATTTTTAGTTGAAGACATATTGTGGTACCTATGTTGCAATTCATTTTTCACTAAATAAACAACCTAAATTCTAATTTGTCTTTTTTACCACATTCAAACTAAAATATGTAATTTAAATACTTTCATTCATTGATACAGAGCAGCAATACTCTCATTGATGTTATAGCCTAGCACGAATGCTGTACCCAGCGGCGGGTGAGTGCGGCGTTGCCAGTTCGAACGTCGCGGCCTTGTATTAGAGGTGGCTGTGCGTCACACCATCGCAGAGTACCAGGCAGAAGCAGCGCACCATCGAGTGTCACCGCACGTTGAGGTCACCACAATCACCCCAAAAGCAGCTCTTCGCACGACAATAAAGTGCAGTGTTCTTGTTGTGGAAGTGCATTCCATTTACGTAATCAGTATCGATTGTTAGGTGTAACATGTAACGCGTGTGGAAAGAAGAATCACATTGCTAAGGTTTGCCGATCTAAGAGTAAGTTACAAAAACAACATTCTTAACATTTTAGTAATAGATATAACAGTAGGCATAATTATGTAGAAGCAGTAACGAGTGCAAACGATGATAATGTCTAGAATTATATGTAATTAAGAAGGGAGCTCATCCTCTGATAGATGACAGAAAGGTGATATTCCTTTTAAACTAGATCACATAATCCTTTATAAGATACGTTGATTAACATATGTAAACGTCAATATATACGTAACAGCCAATTTAGAGTATTTTTGCTTCTTTGAAATGTCCCATTGCTATGTCATTTGCAATATTTGTTGCCAATGAAGCCGCAAGACCATATGAACTAGGAGGCCCCTAACAGTTCAAGATTAAAAGCGAACTTCACTTCAAGTATTCCACTACACCTAACATTCAGTAGAGAGATTATATTGACAACTTTATGTTATTGATAAGGCTGAGACAACTAACTGACATCCCCATGTCAAGGAATTCCAGCTTTAACAGTAACCCCACAATCAATTTCTCAAAACAAGAGGGTTCATTAATTGGCACAGAAGTACGATATGAACTGACGCAACGTGACGAAGGAAAAATCAAACTTAGACTGTAACGGATATACCTCGCTTTGAAGTTAGAATATGTCTTCCCAAAAAATATTTTCTTTTGAAATAAAATCATATTACACTGATGAAATCACGGAAGTGTTTAACTACAAAAAATCCACCAATACGATTTTAATACTACTTAAAGGTTCTTACAAAGGAAGAAATACCATATAACATAGTAATAATAACTCTGATGACATATGGTATGGGGAACATTTTATTCATTGAATGATCAATTAAATTTGGCAACTAACTCAATTAATATCATTATTGTTTTTACACCTTTTACTCTTTAAACAAAGCTAAATGCTCAAAATATGTATATTTCACCCAATTTATCGCAGTTAGATGAATTAACGTAAGCCTTGAAAGTAACCGTCGATTTTGACGGGTTTCACCTAGTGTTATTAGATTTCTTGATGCAGCATGCAATTGCCGATTACTTTTCTACAAAAACAGCTGGCAGGGCATGTAGTAGGGTAATCTTGGGGTAGTGTGGTCGGTGAGCACGCTGACGATGGTGGGGGGAGGGGTGCCTAACTTCGCTGCCTAGAGGCGGCAGATAGTTAAATAGATCCCAGAATCAGCCACACTATTTATCTGAAACTGATGTCATACCTGCGTCTGGAGGCATCACTAAGGGTTTGCTCCAGCTCCAGGTCTCGCTCAAACTGTTGCTCACTGACGTCGCACTTGAGATCCAGGATGCTCCGGTCTGCCTTGGCATTCAGCTGCTTCAGTTGGGCTATCTTGGCCTTCACACTCTTGATTTCTTCTGTTAAACCCTTTACTGCTCCCTTGTAGTTTTCCTCAGTCTATACAATATACATTGATTAATATTGTCATCATTTACTTTTTCTTAAACAATTCAGCATATCAGGAATTGCAAAATTTTCTTTATACTCAAAAATAGCACCTGCTGGGCCATTATTAATATTGTTTTCTGTTACTGAATTTGTACTGGTACATTATAAAAATTGTTTGCAGAAATCAATAAAATGCGTTTATTTGGTGAAAAAAACTTTTTTGGGACAATCACTGTCTTTTTTCAAGAAATGAATTGAATCTGGTTTCAACTATTTATTTTTAATTTAAAATAAGGCAGAATACACACTTCATTGTAACTGGGTATCTTATTTTGAGTAAAATAATTTTTATACAATAAAAATGAAAATTGTTTTTATTTTTTATTTAAATATAACTTCTCTGGAATTGTAGCGCCGGTCGCCAATCCCCAGTACAGTCTTGATCCACTCAAAAATCTGTTTGTCCTAATTTGATGTTAAACAATTAACTTTAGTTGCTTATTATTTATCAAAACAAAGTATCTTAACGTATAAACAAGAGTATTACACCATAGATAATCTTAACACTTTTAAACTTGGCCTCCACACTGTTAAGTAGCGACGGTCGCAAGGTTAGTAATTTAAGTTTCTAGCCGTTATTGGTAGGTCAAGCGCCAGTTCCTTGTCAGTTGTGAGTGGTATGTCAGTGAGATCCATTGTGTGTGTGCTCAAAATTCAGCTATTTACCGGTAAGAAATAATTTATAAAATACTTAAATAAACAGGTGTTTTATGTTTTATAATGTTGCATCAGTCGTGAAAAGTAAAGCTACAATGATTAACAGTCAAATGTTGATATTACTTCAATAAAATATGCTGGTAGACAGGCTTGCTATAAACCAATATGGCGATCCTGGCATTTTTGGTTATCTATCTCGTAAATAATAATTTTTCATCATGACGTTGCGCAGGTCAAATAACAAACAACCGGCGCTACTATATTGTGACCGGTGCTACTATAGTTGTGAACGAGCTACTTTTGTAACTGATGTGATGGTAAGTAGCGCCAGTCGCAGTCACTATATATATGTTACACTCAAACTCCGAATTCGGACAATGTCCAAAATGTGTGCCCACTTTGCGATGTGGATGGCGTGTATATGCCCAGACCTAGTTAAACTGATTTACTCAAATGCCGAAGTCAAAACAATCCTCAGCGATTGAGCAAATCCTAAATACCCATACAACGGGATGTGAGCAAAAGTGATTGCCCCCATAGGGTTGCGGGTATTTCTAGTTTGTGAAAAACATAACATGAAAACATACAAACATGAAAACATGCAAACATGCAAACATGAAACATGAAACATGCAAAACATCTATATATTAATTACGTAAGCCGATTCTTTGCGTCAAAATTGTGGGCGACTGGGAAGTGGTAGAACGACGGGAGGGGGCACAAATTAAAGGTCTCGATCCCGTGACGGCGGAAAAATAGTGGAACTCCCAAAATTTTTACTGAAATTTAGATATAACATCAAATGTTCTCCATAAGAATAGCATTAGAATCCATACACAGCTGATTTTTGTTTACTTTAATATATTGACCACGCTATATTTCCAAGCCAGTATTCAGTACACGCAGTTAGTTTACGCAGACAAAATACTACTTGTTAAATTCTTTTTAATTGATTGTTAACAGTACTAACCTGTTTAAGGAACATTGAATCTTCATCTTGTGTTTCTTTCTCTTTAGGTGGCTTGTCTTTCTCTTTCAAATATTGTTTCACTTCAAGAGTCACCTGAAATTTGAAGAGTACATATTCATAACAACAAGTTTGAAGGTTGGTTGAGTGATCCTTGAAGCAAACAGCAGACATTGATTCTTTGTTATGTTTGGGGGACTACTTAAAGATGGACATATCCAGTACAAACTTAATCTGTTCTAGAAGTTAGAGACTTTGTTGCAAAGGCTGCTCATGGATCTATCAGCTATTGGCCCTGGGTTAAGTGAATCAATTATGATGGTCAATTAGAACTAAGCCTTAATTCTCTGCACATACTGACTGCATAATGTTTTTTTTTTTTATTTGGTACATTAACATACCGTCCCCTTTATGTCATATAGACGTATCTCAATTTTGGCAACTTTAGGAGAGCGAAAAAACTAAAGATGCCCTCATGTTTACTTTTGTTACCCATAACAGATACAGTGCCGGATTTACCACTAAGCAAAAGGGGGCCGCAGAGGATTGAGAAAAACAAGTTTTGGAATTTTTTTATTTTTTTTTACTACCAGTTTGCCACGATTACAGGTGACCATAATGATGTCTCCACTAACTGAGGGACATGTTCACTATTTGCCGCGGCCGCTGGTGCTGATGTCCTCTTGATTGCGGCCCACGGGAGACGTTCACGATTTAGCCGTGGCCGCTGGTGACGGTGATGTGTCCTCATGATCGAAGCCCGCGGGAGACTTTCAAGAATTAGCCGCTTTCGTGAGTGTCGATGATGATGTCCCAGTGATTGCGGCTCACGTGAGATATTAACAATTTGGGCAAGGCCGCGGGTGACAATGATGTTCTTAACGTACAAAGATAAAATAAAATTATTTCCCACTTAATCAACCCCAAGGAATAACCTAAAAATATTTTCAACTTTATCCCGATACGGGGTGTGCCAAAAACTGAGGGTCACTAGTTTGAATCTCGGAATTTTAAAAAGTAAACATATATCATGTTATAAGGTATTTAATAGACAAACATTTTGGCAAAAACAGAAATGAATTATCTTTTTCCGTTTAAAAATGGCAGCAGTTTATTTGCAAAAAATCAATATGTTTTTAATTATCTATGTTTCCTATACCAATGCACTTAGCCCTTCTCCAGTTGAATTTTCTTACTAGTGTTATGAAATTAGCTTTACTGTGATATGCCACAAGTAACGGTTTTTTTTATCATAAAAATTCCCAAAAAAATGATTTTTGAAAATTTGCCCATTGTTCAAAATTTTCAAATAGCTATATTTGTCAAGTGGCACACCATTTTATAGGTTTTTTAAATTTTCAACAACTTTGTAATTTACACTTACTTCGTATCTCTTTTAGTTTTTGTGTAAAGAACAAAAACCCTAATTTTCCTATATCAAATGCATGTTATTTGGGTCTAACACTAAATGAAATGGGGCCATTAGTGTTAAACCACGGCCCCCTTTAACTACAGGCCGCGGCCAGCGAGAATTGGCAACGTCGCACTGAGCATTAACTCCCGGCCATTTCACCATTACGGTAGTACGAAACTAGTGGTCGTGGTTTAAATATACTGCATTTTTACACCCTTACAATTGAGATAAAATTTTGAAATTTTGTACAGAGCTAGGGAATAAACCCTTCATGCCAATGGTATGGTTTTGAAAATTAAAATTTTATTTGGTAGTACATATATATATTTTTAAAATTAACACAATAGAAAATTTTTGGAATAGTGAAGTGAAAAAGTTAGTCGCCTACTAAAATTTTTGTTTGTTGGTCAGAGAAGTTTCGTCTGTGAGAAAGTTGTAGATAATTAAATATACTTTAATTTTTGTATTTAACTTTTCTTTCTATCATGCTTAGTTTTGTTAAAATTTTGGGTTGAACAGAGTGACCAAATCTCAGTTTTATGGCACGGCGCGGCGAGTAGCGCAGCGCTGCTCGCAACTGTATTGTAGTATCGCATAGCTAATAATTAATTAATGTAGGCCAACTGAATTATTTCAAGCATTTTAATATGCCTTTTGGTTATCCACAAGAATATTACTTTTATATCAAATACTGCACGACTTAATGTCTTCATAATTAAATACCGTAGCCTAAAACAAAAATGCCTTTTCCTTTTAGTTTTAATAATTTTGCTGTAGTTTATTATGAATTTTAAGTAAGTGTTTTATTTACACGTTATTATGTAGTATTATGAGAAATAAACCATTATAATATCTAATCCATTGATAATATTCTTGCAACAGACAATCGGAAGGTGGGGCTACCGAAAACCTTTAATTTAGCGCTCATCAACCAATAGTGGCGTGGCGACCACCATCTTCATTGAATTAGGTGGAATTAGCGAATAACTAAAATTAGCGACAACCTGTACCTATAATTAGCGTGCAGTTGTTCTTCTGTGTTGGCTGGTTTTTAGTGACTAGAGGTTTTTATGTCAGATATCAATATTTTAGAAATAGCTGAAACTGTTTGAATTTTTGGAATAAATAATTTGAAGGAAATAGTATCAAAAATTATTTTGAGAATGAGCAATATTTTTTAAATATTATACTGATTCTTATATTGTTTGTTTAAAAAAAAATCCAGCAAATTTAGTTATAGTATGTAAGAAGCAAAATTGATTTATTTGAATTGTTTGTAGTGGTAACATTGTTTCTTTTTTCATTTCCCTCACTAAGTTTGATTTCATTCATAATTCTGTATCTCATGGCAGGCAAATCTCGTAGACATTGTAAGTACAAAATATTATTATCCATTATAATCTAGGAAAGTAAAATCTGAAATTAAAATTTGTATTAAAAATACTATTGAACATGGATATGGGAAAATAATATTCACTGTTGGTTAACCTCAAATACTAAATTATGTTAAATTAGGTTATAAGCATGTTAACTTGCAAAAAGCACACTGTACGAAAGAAAATGGTAATTTAAATTTTATATTTAGAATAGTTATATTAGTAATATTTATGCATTTGTATATTTTTTTTACAGACGAGTTCCTGTATTAAAAATAGAGCTCTACGGAAGGCCATCATAAAGTAAGACTGTTTCAATTAAATAATTAGGTATTTAGGGCTGAGATACAGAGGTATAATTTAACTAAAGCAAAAGTATATATTTGTTATGATTTCATTTATTTTGTAATAAAATGTCAGTGTTGTACATGAAAATGAAATGGCTTCTTTTTAACTTAGGCTGAATCCTATTGAAGTTATATAGTTCTGTAGTATAAATCATTACATTTATACTTTTATTGGACCTTACGAGTATAAATATATGCGCCACTCTGCTTTACAGAACAACAAAATATAACAAAAAATCTGGAAATCACTATAGCCTACTTTTAAAGTTTTATCCAAGCCTAATTTTTACTAGCCTAGAGTGAAATATTACATTACAGCCTAATTACTAAATGAGCATGAATCTATAGCAAGATAATTTCATAAATATGTCTAAATTTAACTTGAATTACCTTATCAAAGAAGAGCTAACATATGAGCTCTTATCAAGGGGACAAGATATTATCAACAATGATGTTCAGAGTTTAAGGAGGCAATTAAGGTTATGTCAAGACGTTCCAACAAATGTTATTAATTTGAAAGGGAAAATTATACTTAAAGATGAATTTGACACGATAGGAAACAAATTATATAATGTAGAGGAACTAATAGGTCAGTGCAAGGAGACTAATAGCAACTTATTAGTAGCCAAAATCAAAGCTAAGCTAGCCCATTTAGCCTTAAGAATTTCACATATGAAACTGTGTAAACTAGAAGAATCATTTACGAATAGACTTACTGACTTTGTGGATAAATTGCAAAAATCCACGTCGCAATTTGAAGCTATCCTAAATGACATCCCTCAGGAGGAGTTGGCGGAATTTGAAGAAAGGTTAAACACATCTATTTTGGACGAAGAGGAAATCGACTCAGAGATAAATAAGCATGTTGTTCACGATAGACAAACTTCTTCTACCCCTACCCAACATAACACACAGACACTGGAAGTCGTTCAAGATTTCAAGCCTATAGAAATTCCATTTAACAATCGCCTTGGTCCACAAGTACAACCACTAGCAGGCCCCTCTCAAGAGATTGAAAATGTAAATGTATTCGGAAAAATTAAGAATCCGTTAGAAAATTATCTCCAAAAATTCAGGATCTGTAATGGACTAGAAATCTATCCTCTGCTTGACTTTTTAAGAAACCTAATAACCATCACCATCGAGACCAATCTTACTTCACACCAACTGTTTGAAATCTTGCCTACATATACTTCTCAACCGCTCACGAATAAAATATTAGAACACAAGAACACAAATCAATCAATAGACCGACTACACACAGACATCATAAATACTTTCATACCAATAACACTGAAGGAGAAACTGAAACAAGAACTTATCTTTAGACCGCAAAAAACAAACGAACCGTTGTCAATCTACATAAATGAGGTCAAGACAAATCATCAAGTATTGAAGGGAAATCTCACTGAAGAAGAATTGGTTTGTTTCATCAAAAATGGCATCCACCCAGAAATCAGAAATAAATTAGTGTTTGAAAAAAATCCGATAACCTTCAGAGATTTAGACCAACTGTGCATTAACCTAAACAACGTTAATTTTAATGATTATGTCAGACACAATATGTTTCCTACAACGTCAAATACATCATCAGGACATATGCATAATAGGTCAATTGAAAATCAGGGAAATCATGGGTATGGACAAACGTCAAGTGGGACCTCATATCCACGAGACAGGGTTTGTTATAACTGTGCTAGACCAGGTCATACAGCAAGACAGTGCTTCAGAAAACCAAAAAACTCATAAACTTGGGAGGTGTAAGAACCGAACTTCACGTATCTTATCCTCCCAGAAAACAAAATGTTAATGATAATACAAATCATAGTTTTGCATTCAAAAATGAATTAAGACAACTAGTTAAAGGGCACAACAAATTAAAGAAACCTAGCATAACAAAAACCAAAGGTAAAACAATAGATTCTTTACCATGCATGCAAATAAAATTAACTGGGAAAATACATGTAAAATCTCTACTCGATACTGGAGCCAGTAGAAACTTTATAAGTAAATAGCTTTATGACAAACTAAACGCAGTAAATAAAATAAGAGGAACTAAGAAATGGACTGATATAATGTTAGCTGCAAATGAAGAACCATTGGACATCATAAATGAATGTAAGATAAAAATCAAGATAAGCAAGTATTCCTGGTATGAAAAATTTTTGGTGATAAAACAAAACTATTATCATATGATAGTGGGAGCTCCATTCATTCGTAACAAAGGCCTAATTATCGATTTAAATGACAACAGCTGTTATTTTAAATTCGCACCTTCAGACAAAATAAAGTTATGTGGAGATGAAAATTGGCAGAAATTAGCAATAAATAATATTCATATCGGAACTCCAGAGATGACCACAGAAATAGAAGAACTAGTAAAATCTTATCCCAATGTATTTACTGATAAGATTGGTGAGGCACTTGACCTACAAGTAGAACTAAAGCTTACTGATGATAAACCTATATGTATTCGCCCTTATTTTCTAAGTCCGCCTACTTTGAACAAAATGAAAGCTATAGTAGACGATTGGTTAGCCCAAGGTATAATAGAACCATCCACTAGCGAATATAGCAGCCCAGCATTTTTAACGGCAAAAGATAGATTGGTAGTCAACTATTCAGAGTTGAATAAGAAATTAGTGAAAATGAACTATCCAATTGGTGACCTCCAAAATATGTATCATCATCTACAAGGGGCTAGTTACTTTACAGTAATCGACCTAAATAAGGCTTTCCTTCAATGTCCTTTAGCGGAAAATTCTAGAGACATCACATCATTTTCTACAATTTTTGGGAAATATCGCATGAAACGTGTTTGTTTTGGACTCCAGGTTGGAAGCTCCGTTCTATCAAGCTACTTAGATAAAGTTTTTCAAGATATAAAGTTTAAATACATGGTAAATTTCTGTGACGACATAGTTGTTTACAGCACTAACAAGTCTCTGCATATGTCACACGTTAAGGAGGTCATTGACAGACTTGCCAAACACAAACTAACAGTAAACGTTGACAAAGCAAAATTTTTTTGTCGGGAAATCAGCTTCTTAGGACACTTAATTAAAGACAACACTGTAAGAATCGACCCAGAACGTACAACTGCCATTCAAAAGTTCCCGGAACCCAAAAATGTAAGACAAGTGAGGCAATTTACAGGCATGTGTTCTTATTGGGCTAAATATATCCCTAACTATGCCGATATATGTGCACCTTTACATAGTTTGAAACAGAAAGGAAATAAATTCATTTGGTCCCAAAAGTGTAAAATTGCCTTTGATACGTTGAGGGAGAAAATTTCAAATCCCCCAATTTTGCAGTTAGCTGATTTTTCAAAACCATTTGTTTTACAAACGGATGCATCGCAAATAGCGGCAGGAGGAGTTTTATTGCAAGAAAATGAAAATCAAGATCTACTACCAATTGCCTACTATTCCAAAAAGTTCAATGATAACGAGCTCAAATACAGTGTGTATGAGAAAGAAGCCTACAGTGTCATATTATGCATCGAAAAATGGCATGAATTTTTGGAAGTACAGCCCTTTAAATTGATAACGGATAATCAAGCTCTCAGCTACGTTCTAAACACTCGCAGGAAACTGGGAAGATTATCAAGGTGGGTAGAACGCCTGTTAAACCTCCCATTCACTGTCGAACATAAAAAGGGAAGTGAAAATATCTTAGCGGATACTTTATCCAGACTTTTTGATGAAGAAGACATCAATCATGACGAAGACATCAGAACAGAAGAGGACTCTACGTTGAAGATAAATAATTCTGTAAATATTGTTAGGGAAGAAATTAGGAACAAGAAGAGAAATGTAAATAAAATAAATCATGTAAATAGTAGTAATAAGAAAATGATGAGAAACAAACGAGAAGATATACATTTTTGTAATCTAATTCAAGAGATACCAATGGCATTAAATGACTTGAAGTATCACCAAGGAAATGACTCGAAATGTGCAGAGATAATTAAAAGCGTACAAAATAATACTAATCAAGAGTGTTTCTACCTGAAAAATGACGTTTTGATGTACAAAAATCAATCTGGAAAAAGTAAAATTTATCTACCAGATAACTTAATAAATTTGGTTTTTACATTTTACCACAACACAATGATCGGAGGTCATTTGGGAATCTCTAGGACCCAAGGTAAAATAAATGAATATTTTTACAATCCAATTTTAAATGAAACTGTGAAACAGAAGATAAAACAATGTAAAATATGTGCTATGTCGAAGACCACGCAAAGGAAATACGAGGGTAAACTAATTTCAATTCCTGTTGAACAAACCATGAATACAGTTTTTATTGATATTCTAGGACCATTGCCAAGATCAAAGGGACAAAATAAATATATTCTAGTGATAGTCGATGCATTCACTAGATATTTATGGCTTCACGCTCTTAAGGACTGTAATTCAAGATTGATAATCGCAAAACTTCAGCAAACCTTTGTGAATTTTTCAACTCCGAGGATATTAGTGTCTGATAACGCTTCATATTTCATATCCAAGGAATTCAAGGCCTATTTGTTTAAACATTTCATTGAGCACCGTCGTATAGCGATATATCGTGCAAATGGAAATCGAGCTGAGAGATTTATCAGAGATGTGTCTACACTATTGCGATGTTTTTACCACAACAATCAATCTAATTGGGATGACAATTTAGGTTTGGTCCAACTTAGTTTAAACACAGCTGTAAATTCGTCTACAGGTCAAACAGCCTTCCAAATGATGTTTTATCATGAATATAATAACACACTATCAAATGTTTGGAATATACAGGATTTGATTTCAACAAAGCTAACTGAAGATGAGAAGAAAGAAAATTTAACTAAAGCTATAAACAACATCAAGAGAAGCATTAAGAAAAATCAAGAACGTGCGAAATACAGGAATCCAAGATCGCCATTCGCTGTCAATTCTATTGTTTATGTCCGCACTCACTATTTGAGCAACAAAGTGAAAAACTTTTCTAAGAAGCTTGCTATCAAATATTCTGGACCATATAGGATATTGTATTTCGTCACGGACGTAACAGTTTTGATACAGAACGTGAATAATTATCAAGACGTGAAGAAAGTACACATTGTGGACCTCAAACTAGCAGAAGACAAATGAATATGATTCAAACCCGATGCTTACACCGGACTGAGAGGACTGAAACTACTTCAGAAGATTGTATTACTTTTTTAGAGTAATATCAGGAAATGTATATTTTTATTAAGGAGGTATGCAGAAGGAAAAGCGAATTATTTTAGCAAACAATGGCGAAAGAAAACCAAAATTTCAATAATTAAATAAAATTAAATGTTAATAAATAAAGCGCATTCATTTAAAATAGTGAATCAGGATGAATAAATGAGTGGGTAAATGTATAGTTCAAATGTGAGTGTAAATGTGAGCAAATGGATTGATCAAATGGGTGAGAATGTGTGTGAAAGTTTTGACTAAAATTAGTAAATAAGGATACGTGACTCTGAACACTTGACACAAAACTGTTACTTATACACTTATACGACAGGCCATACAAAACACAAACTTTAACGCGCACTAAATACACTAAACTTATAACTAAAACACGACACATCACACTAAAACGCATGCACTTCTACTTGTTCCAAACTAAACTGAACAAACAGGATTTTAAAATGAATGCAGTTAAAAGTAGTTTTATCTTATCTTTGGTATTCGTGATCATTATCATTCTTCCTTTTGGGCATAGTTTGCTAAATAATCCGTCTTGTTTTAAAAAAGGGATATAGGAAAGTTTTGTTTGAATCAAATAAATTGATTTGTATTTATTTATATGTGGTTTTAAAATGGTAGTTGATGAAATTACAAAGAAAAATGTTTAGTTAAAAGAAATGTTTTAATTCAATTTTAATTTGGTTTTATATAACTTGAAAAGCAACAAAACTGAAGGCCCGCGCATTCTAGTGACAAACTATTTGTAATACATTAGGTTATCTGAACTAACCGGATATTGTATTGAGCTGAGCTATTCTATTTCATTGTTGTGTATTTCATAGTATTGAATTTTGCAAATATTATTGTTGTTTGTTATGAAGGAAAAAACTTGAACTAAATTTACTATGATTTTTTTTTATTTTGAAGTGGCGGAAAATTTATACTGATTCTTATATTGTTTGTTTAAAAAAAAATCCAGCAAATTTAGTTATAGTATGTAAGAAGCAAAATTGATTTATTTGAATTGTTTGTAGTGGTAACATTGTTTCTTTTTTCATTTCCCTCACTAAGTTTGATTTCATTCATAATTCTGTATCTCATGGCAGGCAAATCTCGTAGACATTGTAAGTACAAAATATTATTATCCATTATAATCTAGGAAAGTAAAATCTGAAATTAAAATTTGTATTAAAAATACTATTGAACATGGATATGGGAAAATAATATTCACTGTTGGTTAACCTCAAATACTAAAATATGTTAAATTAGGTTATAAGCATGTTAACTTGCAAAAAGCACACTGTACGAAAGAAAATGGTAATTTAAATTTTATATTTAGAATAGTTATATTAGTAATATTTATGCATTTGTATATTTTCTTTACAGACGAGTTCCTGTATTAAAAATAGAGCTCTACGGAAGGCCATCATAAAGTAAGACTGTTTCAATTAAATAATTAGGTATTTAGGGCTGAGATACAGAGGTATAATTTAACTAAAGCAAAAGTATATATTTGTTATGATTTCATTTATTTTGTAATAAAATGTCAGTGTTGTACATGAAAATGAAATGGCTTCTTTTTAACTTAGGCTGAATCCTATTGAAGTTATATAGTTCTGTAGTATAAATCATTACATTTATACTTTTATTGGACCTTACGAGTATAAATATCTACACGAAAGTAAAAAAGACCAAAATAATAGCCAATGTAACCATTGAAAAATGTCAATCCT